GCGCCCAAGTTTAATATATATAAATATTTATATATATATATATATAATTTTATATATATATATATATATATATATACATGATTAGCAGCACTGTTGCTTTAATATTGCTTTCTATTACTATATCCTATTACCACTATACTTACTATATAGATATCCTATAACCCCTACAGTTTCACCTGTTGTGTAATAACATGGTACCTACTAAACTCTCGCAGGATCACTCTAGGAAATCAACTGGATGGCACACATATTATTGACCCGGAGGTGGCTGACATTTCTACAAGATGTACCCAGAAGGAATAGCCATGACGAGAACGCAGCCACACTGATTTCACATGTAGAGAACGAGTTATCTGGACTCGCATCACATTAGGTGGCTGACAATAATTACCTCCGCCCAGGGGTTGGCAGGAGGTTATGTTTTCACCGGCGTGTGTTTGACTGTTTGTTTGTTTTGTGGGTTTGTTTGTGTAGCACTAACTGGAAAAGTTATGGACGGATTAAATTGGACGGCGCGCATTTTGGGGCAGATGATAGTCTCTCGCGTCTACGTAATTAAACAGGAGCTGGGCGCGCTGCAGGCGGCAGATAACGAAGTCAGTTGGCATGAACGGAAGTATTTTTAATCCGATTAGTTAGTTTTCGCGGGCGACTTGAAAAGAATGCTAAGTTACAATTGAGTTTTTAGGCGCTCAGCAGAGCTACCGCGGCAACATGGCCCCGGCGGGTAGTCACGTGATTGACAACGTCATCAACGCGCAAGCGAGACGCTCGCGCGATGGGCGACCATCACAGTCTTACTGTGAAACGTTTCATGCTCAGAGTCATTGGGCTGCTGCATGCCTTGTACTAAAGCATGGCATCTCTACTACCTACTCAAATAGGTTGATACAGCTGCGCAATCAAATCGTGAATGAATAGGATTTGTGATAATTCTTATAAGAATCTTCTTCCAATCGATAGAATCTCTCGTTTCCTGATCGAAAAAAAAAACGAATTTACGCACAGTAACTGACGTGAAACATTTCGCATCTATTTTTTTTTTTTTATTTTTTTTTATTTTTTTTTTTTTTTTTTTTTTTTTTTTTTTTTTTCGTAATTTCTGTGAGATGTTTTTTGATAAAGCTGCAAGATTCTTCAAGAGAAATTGTTTAGCAAGAATAATCTTCCCGGTCACGATTACACGAATCCGATAAGCGATGTTATTATGTCAAGTAAAATCAGTAATAAAAATATATCGCTGGAGCTTTACGATTGGTTGAAGCGGGCCTGCGTCGAAGATATAATGGCATTAAATCTTTAATTAATTAAAACACGCTTTACGATCCAGCACGCGAGCACGCACACACCATACATCCACACACGCGCAGCAACACACACGACAACACAGCACACTACACACAACACACAGTATTGACGCTGTTCCGCCCCCCCACACACCGAACGTCGCACACAACATACACACACACAACATACACAGTCACATGCTGCGGACCACACACACTACACACTACATACACACACACTCAACACACAGCATACGACACGACACACACACACAGCACCACCACACACAAATACCCTCCCCCACCACCACATACTAACAGACGTAGCAACACACAGATACACTATCACACACGCACAGCACACTACACCACACACACCACAGCTATACCACGCAGAGACACCACGTACAATAACACAACGCACTCGATGTCTTATTTTCATCTTCCAATCACAAGTCGGAGCAATTCTCTGTTTAGACGGCAGTTAATATACTAGTGGAAATTTGTTTATTTTTGAAACCATTTGCATTGTTCAACTTTAGTTTTAACAAAGAGGCAGGCCCGTGTGCCGTAGGCATACCAGTGCTAGGGGGGTCTGGGGGCATGCCCCCCTCCAGAAAATTTTGAAATATTTAAGCCATTTTCCTATTAAATTTTTTTTTTTTTTAATTATTATTTATATTTTTTTCCCGTTGCTTTTCACTTCGATCCATCCTTCGGAAATCTATAAAAACTGCAATAATGACTCAGAATGATGGTTACAATCGGGTACAAAACACGACACCATTTTCACGCAGTTAATGTTACCAGTGCATATGATTGTTTAGAACCAGTGGGTCCGTTGTCATGCCACCGTGACGTCATCACTTCGGAGCTCTATGCACATGTGGTTTTGGCGCGAAGCAGGAGAACAAAGAACGGGTAGTAGTGCGTGATTGGCTGGGTAGCGTTTAGCTTGGTTTAAAAGGTTGTGATTGGTGGGTATTGGAATATAAATAAGGATCTTGGTGACTTGACGGGACTCAACTGACGGGACGAAACGGAACTGGTGTAATGGTAGTTGACCTGTTGATTTGTAAACAATATATTTCTTTTACGTGAACGCAAATTTATACTTGGTCTTTGATTTATTTTACTCTAAATTATTTAATTCAAACCTTGATGTAACTTCCTACGTTATATTTCTGGCGCCGTGACAGACGTTCTTAGGGTTTTTGTCAAACAACGTAAGGTACATGCTAGAACACGCTACATCACCGGCAAAGAAGGAGAAATGGCAAAGAAAGACATGTACATTTAGTACTACAAGCGAGTTCACAAGACGAGACGAGGTACAGGACAGCTGTAACGATGAAGAGAAAGAAGCGACGAAGGAAGCGAGGAATGCAGTCGTACGAACGGAACAAGAATCACGGGTGAGTGAAGCATGCAATCTTGTGTCGGCATCTATATTCGTAATGTGAGGTGCGGAAAAAGACTCTAACAATCAAGTGTGGGGTAGACGATTTATTTGTGACGGTTATTCAGGTCTTAGAAATATCTTTATCCTTATCTATGCACTTAATTCTACAGCTACAATTACTTACAGGCGGCATAATGCCTCTCACCTCGTAGATGTTAACCGATAGAAATTACTAAGCAGCAGAATGCTTCCTTCTGCTCTCTATCTGATCCAGCATGGTTGTCAGAAATGGGCTAACTTAGAATTGATGAGATTTTGGTGGTGATCCGGATCCAATTAATTAATTAATTAAATTTTCAGGATAGGTCAGAAATGAGGTAACTTAGAATTGATTACATTTTGGTGGTGATTTGGATACAATTAATTAATTAATCAAATTTTCAGGATACATCAGAAATGGGCCTCTAAAAGAAGGCATGCAATACTTGCCCACACATTAAAACAATGTTCATGAATGCAATGTTGATACCAAGTTGTTATATTTAATTACACCTATTACATACATTTGGCAATTTCAGCACCTTACCTGTAGATATTCCATAAATGATGAGTTTTATATGTATATTACATGTACGTTTAATCATGTGTAACAGCTGATTAATAAGAATCGGAGTAAAGTCAGACAGAACCAAATTACAGAAATAAAATTATAACCTGCTAACCATGTTTTAAATGTTTTTAGTTTTACAATGATATAAAACTAATGCTATCTTCTGCCTCTAGCACTTTCATCTCTTGCAGTTGGAAGGTATTTGCTTGCTTCTGTCACGCTTCTGCTAACTTTAGTGAAATTACAGTTTAAAAAAGAGCTATGTAGTTCGAAGCAGCGTCTGTCACTTTAAAGTGAGAATTACAGATTTTTTACAGTACATGTATTTGAACATAAATTACGGACAGTTACGGAACCATCTGTAAAAAAGATGCATGTGCAAAGTTAGCTGATAAGGGGAGTTGCACAAAACCTTTCAGTTCACAAATCATCAAGCTGGTGTCAAACTGCTCAATGCACTGGAGAGTTAATTTGACTGAAGGGGTTGCAGGCTAGTAACTCAACGTACGTAAGTGTGACGTATATGCTCTGCATTATAACGATTAGATACGAATTCCTCATTACTAGCTGTCACAAGTGACAGTGTTTTACTTACGTGACATGATCTAGATTATGGGGACTGTATGCCCTAGGTCAGGGGTTCTTAACCTGTGGTCCATTGACCCTTTGGGGTCCGTGGATGGGCATGAGGGAGTCCGTGGATGGGCTTCAAGGGGGTCCGTGGATGGGCTTCAGGGGGTCCGTGGATGGGCTTCTGGGGGTCCGTGGATGGGATTCATGGGGGTCCGTGGATGAGCTTCAGGGGGTTCGTGAAAGGGCTTCATGGGGTCCGTGGATGGGATTCATGGGGGTCCGTGGATGAGCTTCAGGGGGTTGGGGTCCGTGGATGGGATTCATGGGGGTCCGTGGATGAGCTTCAGGGGGTCCGTGAAAGGGCTTCAGGGGGTCCGTGGATGGGCTTCTGGTGGTCCGTGGTGGATGGGCTTCATGGGGGTCTGTGGATGGGCTTTAGGGGGTCCGTGGATGGGCTTCAGGGGGTCCGTGAACCCGATTGTATGCAAAATTTTGAGTTACATGTATGTGCATTTTTCTGGGGCGGGGTCTGTAGCTTTCACCAGATTCTCAAAGGAGTCCATGACTCAAAAAAGGTTAAGAAGCACTGCCCTAGGTGATTCGCACGTGTCATAGGCGGCGAGGTGAGACATGCGGGACAGAGGTGAGACGGGTGAAGTTATTGTCTGGTGATAGATGTGTGGAGTTCTGGTTTGGGATAGACGTGTAAAGAGTGTCTGATGTAGACGTGTAAATAAATGTCTGATATTGATGTGTAAAGATTGTGTCTGAGATAGACGTGTAAAGATTGTGTCTGATGTAGAAGCGTAAAGATTGTCTGATGTAGACGTGTAAATAAGTGTCTGATATTGACGTGTAAAGATTGTGTCCGAGATAGACATGTAAAGATTGTGTCTGATATAGACGTGTAAAGATTGTGTCTGATATAGACGTGTAAAGATTGTGTCTGAGATAGACATGTAAAGATTGTGTCTGATATAGACGTGTAAAGATTGTGTCTGATGTTGACGTGTAAAGATTGTGTCTGATGTAGACGTGTGAAGTTACTATTTGAGATAAGAGTGGTTAAGTTTGTGTCTGAGAGAGAGACGTGCGGCCTAGGTTTGTGTTTGAGAGATACGTTTCGCTGGGAAAGAGGAACAAGAGGACGAGAAGCAGAAGGAGTAGAAGCGAAGAAAGAAGAAGAATAGAAGAGAAGGAAGAAGAAGAATAGAAGAGAAGGAAGGAGAAGAAACGAAGAGAGCCTAATCTACGGTATTGGTGTAACGTTTGTTAATCAATTGTTAATTAATGTATAGTTTTCTTTAATTGATAGTTGTGCGATTGCCACCGTTTACCTGTTATATTGTTTATTAAACTTGTTCAAGTTGTAAAACATTTCTGTCTACTTGCTAGCTCTAGCATCAACCCGTGACACTAGCAGTGTCTTGCTAGCAGCTCTTTTCTGCAAAACACAAGTATACATGGTGCAAGATTTGTATTTACGTTAATAGTTCAAGCAACGAACATGTCACCATTTTTATTCATTTGTTTCATCTATCGAATATTATACATATAAATGTATGTATATATATATATATATATAGCTA